AACACCCACTTTTCACTATTTATGTTATTAGTCCCATGCAATAGGGGGTGAGTCTATTGCCATATACCGGGCACAATGCCAGACTCCGTGCTACTACTGAGAATTTTTAAAAACCCAGTAATATTTTGCCCGTGTCGGGAATTGAACCCGAAACCCCTTGCCTGGCAGTCGCACTTGCGGCCACCCGGCCAACGAGACAGAACAGATTCCAATCAAATTTACAGATTACAATACAAAATATCATTGAACACGCCAATAGGTAGTAAAATGTAGGTATATCTACGATGCTATCAACAGCAAATACAATCGCATCAGCTTTGAAAAACCAAACAGATTGGCTACACAGAGTTTTTAATCATAGTAATGCAGTACAGTCGCGCACAACGTTAAAATAATGAAATCGTTTAAATTGAAAGCACTTGGTAGTTTTTCAACATGGAGTAATTACGCCGGTACCTACAGCATACCGATGACAGGGTACTGGTGTGCGCAGAAGTGCTTTACTATCTCTTTTTCGTTGAATTAGACTAACGAACTGTCGACTCTGATTTGAGGGTGCATTTTGAAAATCGTGTTCTTATTTAACGATTTTTGTTTAGTTTGGTGGTGAAATCGAGTTTAGTTTGAGTCAAATACTTAATACATATTTGTATGGGTAAATAAATGCAGCATTGCTGTGTTTTTCGTGTTTTTCGGCGATAGAACGTGTTTTAATGATCGTGAGAATTGGTGGACTATCTATGTATGTATAGGATACTAGCTTTTACCCGCGGCTTCGCTTGCGTCACCAAAGGATAAAAAGTAGCCTATGTGACATATACCAATACACACAGCGCCATCTATACCAATACTCCCTTTCCCCCTTTTCCCTCGGGAATATCAATTTTTCCGGGATAAAAAGTACTCTATTATTTAATCCAGACTTCTAACTTTATGTCTGCAAAAATTCAAAGCAATCGGTTTAGTAGTTACGGCGTGATAGCGGAACAAACAAACATACAAACTAACTTTCCAGTTTTATAATATTAGTAAGGATTGCCTGTTTTAGCATTTAAATCTGTTACAAAAGTAAAAAGGAAAAATCCTTAATCCCGCTAAAAAACCAGTTTATGTATGTGTTATTCTTTTAGTATGTCCTGTATATATGTTCATGTCCCAAGTCTGCCGTGAAATGGGAGTAGGGAATCAAACAGCTTATCTATTATACGAAGTCTCAAATCTAGTTTAACTATACTCTTGATAAAATTTTGTTCATTTATTTTTTGAACACGTCATTTATCGTGAAAACAGTTTTCCCATCATGTTTCTTTCATTCGAAACACATCTGCAATCTGTGTCTGCAAGTGTGGGAGAGCCATGCTTCGGCACGAATGGGCCGGCTCGACCGGAGTGATACCACGGCCTCACAGAAAACCAACGTGATGCAACGCTTGCGTTGTATTTTGTCGTGTGAGTGAGGTTACCTGACACCCAATTACCCCCTTCCCCAGTCTCCCCAATCCCCGAATCCTCAAATTCCTAATTCCCAAAAGGCCGGTAACGCACTTGTAACGCCTCTGGTGTTTCGGGTGTCCATGGGCGACGCCGATTGCTTACCATCAGATGATCCCTCTGCCCGTTTACCGCTTTATCTCACAAAAAAATATCTAAAATTCATTAAAAACTTTTTACATTATCTGTACAAGTCTAGTGATGGTACCACAGCACTTTCAATTTACTCATTGTCTTTGAGAACAATATGTTATGAAAGTCCCGAGTCTCGTGTCTTTAGTTTTTATTTATTTCATCCCCGAGCAACGATAGCGGTTTTCATGCTGCCAGTTTTAATTCCTTTTCAACTTCTGTCTAAACGAAGGTTTTAATAGAAAGATAATTGAAAACTGTGCTTTGTAATCTGTGGATTGGGTTGTAGTATAGATTCATTTTGTTTCTTTATACAGCGTGTGAACTCTATCGGCGTTTTTCGGGAGCGATCCGTAAAATCAAACTCAAACTCAAAGTCTTTATTTGCATATTAAGGTAATACATAGGTACAGGTCATATGAAATAACAGGCACAGCTTAACGGCCTTTTTCAGGCGTTGTAAATTTTTGGGCTGTCACTAGCTTATTAAAAATTACATTTGCTTAACATTTATTTTTTTAACATATTTATTGATTTGTTCGGTATATTTAGGAATTAAACGTTTCAGCCAATCACGAGATACATACACTGAGACCTCCATTTTTGAAATCAGTAAGTATATTAAACTGTCAAACACCAAGCGGTCACCGGTGACCGCAACCTATTGTTCTATAATTGTGTCTACAAAACCGGTATTCGACGAGTTAAAAAGGCGCACGACTGTAGTAATGGCATTAATAAAACAATCACCATCATTATTAATATTTGATATGGAATAGCTCGAACGACATGTAAAACCGTATTTATCGTTAATTTTATTCCAATTTCTGTCTCTGAATAAAATCGTTAGCTCTGAGTTTATTGAAATTAAAAACAATAAAATTCACATTAATAATATTTTTATTATGTCGCCATTTTTGTTTGAACTGCAGTGAATGAACGAAGAAATAATAAGTTCGGCCAATATTTTCATTACCATTCATAAATTAAAATATTTTATGTGACTGTATTAAAAGCCAATTCCCGTGCTTCGTTAGTAGGTATTATTCAATTCATGATATTTTTTGACATAATGACAAAATTGTTTTTATACTTCTGACATCCCACCTCCACGGCCACTGCTTCGACCATATTACGGAGAATCAGTAAAACCAAAAATACCATTAAGTATAAATAGTGTTTTTGGTAAACCATTAAAACAAAGTAAAATGTAACACACAATAAAAATCTATATGAAACTCTATGGTAATAGCAATTAAAAAAAAATGAGTATCAAAAGTAAACATTTGAAAAACGAATGGCTCGCATCGAACGAACCAATAGCTCAACGCATTCCAAGTTTAAAACTTTTAATTCCACTCGCAATGAACTTTTAGCAACGTCAATACGGCAGCCATTTTGAATCCACTCGGGAAAGTTGCACTGACAGATTGGTAACCTGAAATTCAAGTTCTGTGCGCTCTTACAAGTTTATTTTTCCTTTAATGTCACTACGTCAGAACATTTTGCCATTTTCTTCGATTTCGTTCTTTTGTGTAGTAATTGATTTAGCTTTTTTTTATAACTTTTGCGAAGTTTTGTTTGTTACGTAACATCCATCTTATGTAGGAGATATTTAAATAATAATTAATGCACTACACGAGAGTTCGAGAGTTCCTAGACGCAACAACAACGGGTAACCGGGGCTCCGGCTCGACGTGCAGGAGAAGGAACGGGGTGGTTTTTAGTCAGTAAGAGTCTGACACTCACTCCCGCCTCACCCAGGCGGGAGCAGTAATTCGATGATTTTCCCCCCTTAAAAAAAAAAAAAAAGACGTAACAACATTTAAGGAAGAAATGAAAAAAACTAATCATACCCAACTCACGAGTTTAACGTTGTTTCTCGTAGGACGCAGAGTAAAACTACAAGACAGTAAAAAAACTAATATAATTAATAAGTAGCATGAGGAAAGGAGACATCTTCAAATGTTGACTATAAGATTATTATTTTTCCATAGATTATAAGATTATTATTTTTTATTTTAGTAAGTTTTGTAATTACTATAATGCGTCAAACGTGTCTTTGCATTGTTCTCACATAGGTCACATAGGTCCCCAGAAAGTCAATGATGATTTAATCTTATTTTTTTATTGGCTTAAATAGAAAATATTAAACATATTTTTTGAGATTTTCCTAAAAAATTAGAACCACAACCAATATATAAACTTTCCACAACTAAATTGAGCAGGTATACCGTTCAATTTTCCCTGAATCTAATCAATCAATCACTTTAGCACACGTTCGTATTTCGAAGTGCATTTTGTACCGTACATTCGATATCAATGGTCGTATCATTCTCTCTCAACTTTTCTAAGTAATCAGAGCGAGAAAGCTTATACCTTGGTCACCGTGAGAACGATGGAGAAATTCTCGCGACTATCTTTGACAAATAGGAAGTTGGTACTATTGGGTCATTAGTACAGTCAGTCGATGGTGCGGTCAATCAAATGCAGTTGAACTTTGGTGGTAATAATAGTCAGTTGCGTGTTTTTGCATTTAGATAACATTAAACTGTCAAACACCAAGCGGTCACCGGTGACCGCAACCTATTGTTCTTTAATTGTGTCTATAACAACGGTGCTCGACGAGTTAAGTAGGTAGGTACCTACCTACTTAATGTGAAACGATGACGAAACACAACGCAAGCGTTGCTTCACGTCGGTTTTCTGTGAGGCCGTGATATCACTCCGGTCGAGCTGGCCCATTTGTGCCGAAGCATGGCTCTCCCACACATAGTTGTTTCTCCTGTAATATAATATCAACAGGATATTTACTACATCAATTACCAAATCATTCTCTCATAAGATTAACTCAAAAGGCGGTTACAACCAACCAATAGAGATAGAATTGATCCAATCCTATTGTGAGTGAATGGTGCGTGCGCTTACGCAACGAATGGCGATACAATAGCGAACACTTTCTCTAAATTACTCGTGTTTGAGTTCATTGCACCAAGTTCCGCTGAATGGAGATAAGTTCCCATATGCGTGGATGACAATAGAAATGTCTATTTTTAAATGCCCCTGTTTATTTTATTTTATAAAAGGATATACAATGCGGTCTGTGGTGCAAAGTGCAATGCGCATATCCATCAGTTGCGAAGTCAACTGTCGTACAGAAGGACTTGGGTTAGATTACCCATCCGTAAACCAAAAACATTATTAACTTAAGTGTACCAGCAGCTGTAGCCTTGTCTACATGTAGAATAGAAAACTAAATTATATGGAATTGACGTAAATTTTGACACTTGTCAATGTCATCCCCATACATTGTGATTTCTACTCTCTCTGTAGACAAGCGCTAAAGTGGCGTTTGGCTAAAGGCCCAGCAGTGCTAGCCAAATGCCACCCGCTCCGTGTCTACTCTCTTTCTACAAACGCAAGCGCCTTAGCGACATCGCTAACAATTTGGTAGCCAAATGCACAAGCGCTGACGGGTCGCTAACTCTATTCGCTTCGCGTTAAAAATCAAGTTTTTACTCTATGGTTGCGATTTTCGTCGCGTCATTTTGACATACCATTTGTGATTCGCGGTAAATTTAAGAAACATTGGTAAGTATTTACCTACATATTATTTTCATAAAATTTTATAAATATAATGATTGATTGCCTTTATTCTCGGGACCACGGGATGCTGGGCCTTTGGAAGGCGTTCGAGGCTGAAGCCAATAGTTTTATTACAAATATTTACGATTGAATTATCCATAGAATTCAGAGCTTGAACGAGTGAATTCTTAATTAATATTAAGGAGATGAGTTCATAACATTCTTTCAATTTCTATTTTAGTAATGCAGGCAAGGCAGAGGTCAAGCTTTGAACAGCTTTCTGTGCTGATTCAGTTTATGGAAAGGTAATATTACTTGTATAATTGGTATTACAGTGACTTAAATCCACTCATGTTGTCACAAACAATGACTGGGTACATGCAAATATTATAGTAATAATAATAAAGGTTTATAATTTAGCCATGGGGACCTGTCAAAGCCGCGTCCAGGGCCTCAAGGCCGAATAAATAGTGAGCAACTCTGGCTGGAGCTTACCAATATTTTAAATTCCATGGGTGGTGGTGTCCAGAAAACAGCAGATAAATGGAAGAAAGTAATTCACCTATTTACATATGTTTTACATTAGTTATCACTAGGTATTTGTATCATTATATTATTTATTTGAATACACCGTCACAACGGTTAGAAACTAATTACAGTTACTGAAAACACAAAATAATAACCTATAAAATATTAAACTAAAATAAAACATATTATATACATTACACACAAAGGAAAAGAAAAGTACAAACTTAGTTAAAACTGGTTTAGGTAATTCATAAGTTCCTCTCGCTGTATTTCAGGCATTCCGATATTATAATAAACAAACAAGTAATTATGTAGGTATAACAATTAATGAGTAATTATTGCTAATTAATAAGTAATATATTAGTATGTAATACATCTAAATGTTTGCTTTTATTTAGGTCTGGACAGACTGGAAAACAAAAACAAAAAAGAAATATTTGCATATAAGGCAGCAAAGCAGTGGCACAGGTGGTGGTCCAAACACACACATTCAATTAACTGCCATAGAAGAAAGGGTGATGGCAGTTATTGGAGTGTCTGCTGTAGTTGGTTTGGCTGGCATCCAGGAGCAAGGATTTAATGTTAGTTTAAATTTTTTGTAAATATTTATTACTTGTTATATCTAGTCACTAATTTCTACTAATAGAGATATATAAGTAAATCTATCTATTAAACTTAAAAAAGCTCTCTTATGCAGAGAAGGCTAATATTATAGCCACGGCCTGTCACAGGTTGATGGTGATGATGATAATGATATCATTATAAAGTATCTATAGGTATAGATGCTTTCAGAAAGAAACACCTATGAAATTAGGTTAGATGTAGTTGTATGATAGTAAGAAATCCTTCTTTCCTGTGAGCAAAGAATACATCAAGTGAAATAACTTGAATTATTTAAACCATTTCTTGTTTTTAAGGTTCCAAATTTTAATGAACAGCCACCGGAACCGATGCATTTTGCTGAAATGTTGGAGAACCAAAGCAGCCAGAATAGTTAGTACCTACCATTAATAGTTCTCTAGAAACATACCTATTTATTTTTATGTTGAGAATTTTATTTTACATACCTACCTATAGTTACTACTTTTATTTGTCTAAGAGGTTAGCACAGAAATCATAAAATGTTCAATTTAGAATAAGATTTCTAGCCAATAGTAAAAAACCTGGCTATAGGAAATTGTTTAAGTTTGACATTATTTGCTTAGGCATTGTCTAACAGCAGACCTTTAGAGAATAAATGTCATAAAAGCCTTAAACGTCTCTATTTACAGCAGATCCAATATTCGATGGACGTACGTCACCACTGCCACTGCCGTCGCTGTTATCACCCCAGCGACCGCCAGAACCGCTGCAACCACCACTACCACAGCAACCCCCGCAACAACGACTGTCGCAACCCCCTACTCCGCCAGCGCGTAACGGCAGACGGCAACCGTCGGCCTCTCCACGCTCTACAATGAGCGCTAATAGGTTTGCTCGCCGAACTAAGAGGAGAATGACTCCCTTTGAAAGGGCGGCGGAGCAGTTTAGTGCTGTAGAGCGTAGGCGTCTTACTTTTGAAGAAGAGCGAGATAGGCGCCTACACGAAAGAGAGATGGAGAGGCTGCGACTAGAAGCCGAAAAAATAAAAATTGCTGAACGGCAAACGGCGATACTGGAAGGCTTGAGAGTTCTTGGAGAACGGCTCATTGGCGTACTGTCTGAGCAGCGGCCGGCCAACTTATAATTTTTATTATGCAATTATATACGTATACAAAAGGTGTAGATTTAAAACCATGCCACTACTCGAAAGCATGTCACAGAAGTCATAAATGTTCAATTTAAGAAACGGTTTCTGGGCAATAGTTAAAAATACTGCTATAATAAATCGTATTATTCAGAATAAGCGACGAATCACCCGACATGTCAATGTATCAGCTGATTCATAATTCGTAATACCTACTAAATGCGTACGTATCTTGCTGAATAGGTACAAATAATTTAAAACTTAGTAATGGGTCTGTAGGTATCCTTAGAGACGGAATGTAAACTATGTGAAGTAAATAACTTACATATCTACCTGTGTCACTCGGAGATTTCGTTCGAAATTTTCATCTTCGCAATCTACCTATGCACAGTAACAGTTATGCAACACGTCATTAATTATACTAGTCAACACTGTGACACTTGTTTTAATGTGTTTTAAGCACTGATCACTTGCAGTCTCTGGGTAACAGTCAAACGCATGACTTTCATGTCATGTCTGTGTTGGGAGTTTAGGTACGATGCGAATACCTCGATAGTTTGTTTTCATTGCAACTGATGGCATAAATGTTATCATTATTACATAAACACTGAACTTAGAACTTTGATAATAATAAATTAGTGACGTTATTGTAAGTTTAAGGTCATGCGAAATAATTTCGCAATCGACTACCCCCGGCAGCGCCAAAGCACAAACTGAATGCGTGTTTGCGTGTGCGCCGTAGGGCCCGTAGGGGTGAGAGTGCTAGGGGGTGGAGCGTTCGCGTTTCTTATTGGAATTTTTGGGAATTAGTAATAATATCTTAATATCAATTACGTGTTTGAGTGTGTGTGTGTTGAACCGCGTTATTAAGCTAGTTACATGACGGTCACGTGAAATCCGGCGTAGTTAGCACTTACGGATATCCGTAATTTACAATAAAAATAATTACCTACAACTTTTTTATTCCTTCAGACTTAGAATCGATAGCCGAAGTTACCTTCTAGAAAAGGTTTTTTCCCGAACAACCCTTGTATACACGTTTCCCCGTTGTACCTTGCGTGCTTTTGCCATTTTTTTACTAACTTTATCTATACCTACATATTATTAAATTATTTTGAAATAAAACTGCTTTTTCTTTCTTTCTCTAGTTTGTATTCTCTTAATAAATTATATAATAAAAGCGTAAAAAATTAAAACTAAACAAAACCAATAGGCGTAAAATAAGGAATATAGGCATACAGAAAACATAAAATTGAAGAAATTCCGGACAATAATTTTATAGATACATTTCGTTTAGATAAACAGACTTTTAGTCTGCTTTGTGAGGTGCCCATACCTCAAGCAAATTGTTCTTTACACTTATTGATTCACCATGGTGTCAATGTTTTGACCGAGGGAAGTGGAAACTATAGTTTTTTTTCTCCTCTATTAATATCTTCTTTACGTAGTGGGATCAACTTTTCATGTTGTATCTACTGTAGATCTTGGCTTATAGGTGTAGTAGTCCATCGGTTTTGGGAGGTAAAACAAAAAAGCTAAATTTATACATATTAAAGCCTGCTTATTAATGCATTGAGCGTTGCTCGGCCATGTATAATGTCCGTTTGCGAATTATGGGCAATCTGAACGTCCACCGACACTCCATCATCATCACCATGATGCTCAGTTACGTCAGCAGGTGGTGGAAGACGAGCGTGTACCGTGAGATTGTGTAATACACAACACGCAGTAACAATTTTACTGGCAACATGTGGATCATAATGGAGTGTGCGGTGGTTCAGCAAACATCGCCAACGTCCTTTTAACACACCAAAACAACGCTCAATGCAGTTTCTGGCTTGTATGTGTCGCGTGGTATAAATATCTTCTTGTGATCCAGCAGCGGCATTCAAAACGGGCGTCATTAGCCACGCTCTTTGCGGGTATCCTGAATCACCTACAATTTTAAGGATATTTTATTAGTTTCTCAACTTTGCAACCATGTAGAAGTAATACGCTTTACATAATTTATAATGACACTGTGTGTGCTGTGAAAAGGCTAAGGTTGCCACTTGTATATTGCTACTCACCTAAAAGCCACGTTTGCTCCCCACGTCGGTGAAGCTCACGCATGAAAGGCTCCACTTGGCTGGAAGCCCATATAAATGAGTCATGCGTGGCTCCACCATACTTGGCATTCACATTTAGTATTTTAAGATTGTGATCACAAATCTGCAAATCAAATTATTTTAATTACACGCATGCTTAAATAGGCGAAAGAGGGGTATATCGACCTTATAAGTACCTAATTTGTTTGAGTGCAACCAGGAATTACTTTGTTTAGAATAAGCAACTGAATCCATCTCAATGATTTTATACCATGTTGTATTTTGACCAAAAAAACTTCAAAACTGCGCGCTGCCTATTCGCAATCATATGACTGCAGGTCATGCGCGGGCACGGCACGCGGCACTGTAGGTATCGAACGCGGCACGGAGCGACAGCGACGCACCCGCGCAACCCCCTTTCGTTTTCGTTCAGTTACGCTCAGGCTCACGCCGCGGCTACTGTCGTTGTATGCGCATGCACCTCGTCGACAATTTCGTGATCGCAAGTTTTATCTTTCTTCAATTAGATTTTTAACTTTAAACACTTCGTTTATCAAGAAGAGTTACAAAATGAATTTGATTTAGGAGACAAAATCCATAAAAGTGAATTTTCAAGTGTTAAAAACAATCGATTTGTTTTAAGCATATTACACAAAATTATAGCTCTTGAAATTCTTTGTATGATGCAAAGAGGCGAATGCTTCGAGCTACTTTTAAAGTATGTGTGAGCAGTGAAGTGAGTACCTATCTACCTAATCAGTGACATCGTGATTCTCAAATATTCAATCATAGATAGTAGGTAAACAGTGAATTAGTAACTAAATAGTGAATTAACGTTTAAATAATGTCAATTAACATGTTTAAACACCAAGATGGATTAGTAATTGCGTTATCAATGAAGACAGTGCGAAGCGAATGAAGGTTTGTAGCTGCACATAGTTGAGTTAATAACTACCTATACATGTAGTTATCGCCGCGGCCGCGCGCCGGTACATGGTGAGTAGGTGTATTTTTACAGACAGAGAGCTATTATATTAAGCAAAACTCGGTGAATCTTTATCGTAGTTTTGAAATTTTGCTTATCGATTATATTTATACAAAAATACTAGACCCGTGTTTCGTAATGCACTCAAACAAATTATGGTTGTTGACGCAGACAGTCCTTCATCTGTGCAGTATTCAATGAACAGATTCTATAATAATTATGTATAAAACGTTAGCTTACCATTTGCACATTAAGGGAATGATATCCTTTCCTATTAAAAAATAAGTGCTCGTCCCTGGCTGGCTTTACAATGGCCACGTGCGTACAATCTATGCAGCCTACAACACCCGGCAAATTAAATCTTCTTTGGAACCTAGAAGTGATTCATGTTTAGTATAGGTACATATAATAAAAATAAACTAAACAAATAACGGTAATAGATACTGTCTTATAGTACCTTCTGTTAGATATATGGTAGGTATTGTTTAAAAAAAACATAATCCCAGTATTATTTTCTTTTTAGTCGTGGTCGAGAGACGAGACATTTACTATTCCTCCGGCTATATTAATTTATAAGAACCGTCGCAATATTTTGAATATTACTTACTCTTGTCTCAGGGCCTGCCGTTCTTGTTGCGTTTGAGGAAATCGTATGCCATTTAACATGTAGTCGCTGTTGAGCGCTTCTACGACTTCCCTTATACAGCGACTTGCAGTTCGTTGGGGTAGAAATTGTGTTACCCCAACGATTCGCTGGTAAGATCCTGTTGCCAAAAAGCTCAATGTGCAAAGAACCTACAAAGGAACAAACAAAGACCATTTTAACTTTACTTCTAAAGACTTAAGCAGGTAACTGATGTATCCTAATGTTCATCATTATCAAACCGTTTTCGCCAATAACTCGCCGTAGAGCTCGAACTGAATGAAAGCTCTTCTCATGCGTACTTAGTTTGGTGGATTTAGTTTATTAGTAGTAGGCAATGATTTATTTACTAACCTTAGTCTCGAGCGAAATATGTTTAGTTCCCCGCAATGAGGTATGGGCACGTAAGTCATTACAAAGCAGAGTAAAAGTTTCTTTATCCAAACGAAATGCATCTATAAAATTATTGTCCGGAATTTCTTCATATTGATTTTTTCTGCATAATTTCCTTTTATTACGCCTATTCCACTCTTCTTCAGTATTTGCGGCCCATAATAGGCGTAATGTATGCATTTTATTAAAATAAAATAATTTTTGGTGTACACACAACACAATACAACACAAATTTAAATGAGCGCGGCTTTGCAGCGGCAAACAGCTGATCGAAGGTCGGCCATTTTGCAGCGCTATCTACAAGGTCCTAGCGACCGCTCCGTGTCGAGCGCTAAGAAACGCTTTCGGCTGTCAAAAGTGGTATTTGGCTAGCTTTTCTAAGGAAAATAATCGACTTGCTTAGCTACCCGTTTTGTAGAATAGACTAAAGATGCATTTGGCTACCAATCTCAGAGTGTCAAAGTCTGTCTATTTTGCTTATGTCATCCCCATACATTGAGTTATCTACTCTACAAATAGACACGCTTGTAAAAGGCATTTGGCTAGCACCGCAGGTTCGACTGTGTGATCCACAAATTTTGGTTTCTGTCTTGGTGTTATGTATATGAAATTGTATGTTTGTGAATGCACCCAGGATACCTCTGTCTAACCCTTGGAAAATGAAATATCTGATGTTATGCTATTAATAAAAACAACATTACCTATTTATGCAATTCACACGTTGTGTTTATCATCTTATCTCCATGTTCAAATTGGGGATCGAACCAAAAGCAAATCAATAGAGATTTCACCTGAAATCCCACTGTAGTTGTGTTTGTAGTATTGGAAGTATTTAATTGAAACTCCTAGAATTCATAGCTTCTGAATTTACATCGACGCAACAGTTGCAGTACTGCGTTTTAGGTAATAGGTAAATTCCACTGAAATGTATAATTACGTCGATTTAGGATTAGTTGATTAATTGCCCGGTAACCTTACTCACATGACGAGCCACAACGGAAGCGTTGTTTCACGTCGGTTTTCTGTGAGGCCGTGGGATCACTCCGGTCTAGCCGGCCCATTCGTGCCGAAGCATGGCTCTCCCACACAAGTATAAAAATCAATCGTAGCTAGGTAGTTTGGTGGCTGGTCACATTTTACATAACATCACACCTTTTATTCCCGAAGGGGTTTTTTTTAAGGGGGGAAAATCATCGAATGACTGCTCCCGCCTGGGTGAGGCGGGAAGGAGTGTCAGACTCTTACTGACTTAAAACCACCCCGTTCCTTCTCCTGCACGTCGAGCCGGAGCCCCGGTTACCTGTTAGGTTCTCTGCGACACTCCCGAAGGGATAAGCAGAGGTGCACATTATAGCACACTGTCACTGTACAATGTAACACCCACTTTTTACTATTTATATTATGAGTCCCATGTAATAGGGGGTGAGCCTATTGCCATATACCGGGCACAATTCCAGACTCCGTGCTTTTACTTGGATTTTTTTTAAAACCCAGTAGTACTTCATCCGTCGTTCATCCGTCGTTCGGCACTGAGTAGGACGCCACTGTGCAAATTTGCTCCGTAATTATTCCAAAAATAAAGTAATTTAAAGTTATCAACCAGTGCATATCTTATTACATTCCACTAGTTAAGTTTGTTAGAAAAACAGTGTTAAAGACCCCATCTTAATAACTGAAGTATTACCGAAGATATAGCAAAATCAATTTAATAAAATCGTAATTCATCGCCGTTGAAACAACAACCCGTGACTCATTCGCCGCGCCGTTGGTCGCTGCTGGCCGCTGCCCGCCACACCGCCTCCCGCGCCTCACCTGTGTCACCTGTGTCGTCTGCGCTGACGACAACGTTTGTTTACATTTTGTTCGCACAACTTTCTTTCATCAAATTTCAAGATGAATGCGAATTGCGATGCATGCGGTAAGAATATCTCAAATACATATTTTATGAGTTGCGTAAAATGTAAAGGAGCATATGACTTGGAGTGTGTTAATATAACAAAATTATCCTGGGAAAAATTCACCACTAAGTTC